GCCTACTTGTGGTCTCTGTCTGTCAAATAAATAAATAAAATCTTAAAAAAAAAAAAAAAAAGCTATAGGTCTCTGAAGAGCCCACACTTGAATCCCATGAGAGAAACACCTGCTGGTCTAAATAGGATGAAACCATTCTAGAATGGGATAGCAAAGAGCTTTCCATCCTCTCTCCCCACTTCTCCTCTAGTCTTTTCTAGATCTGGAAAGACAGCTAGTGTGCTGGGGATAAGGCAACAAGAGAGGGAGAAGAGCTGATGTGATTCCCTCCCCCACAAAAGGCTACCTGTAGATCCTTCCAGGGAGGGGCAAGGACTCCCCTCCCAGGAGGTGGAACTGTAAACTAACAAATGGATTGGAACTTCTAGATTCTGAATCAAGACCATTTTGCTGTTTAGAGGACTGTAAGGCTTTGTATTATCTAAGAATTAATCAGGTTATGGGGCCTGAGTTTTCACCCAGGGACAGGAGAGGAACTCTTCCTACAGGGTAGGCTTAATGAGACAGTGGAAGACAGAAGTTGAGCTGCTTTTATGTTTATACCTCGTGAGTCTTGCTTACTCAGGGTGCCATTTCCATCTCTCGATTCGGGCCCTCCAGCCAACACAGCCGACATGATATTCCCCAAACACCCCAGGCAGAGTACAATTCCACCTTTGTGCTTGGGTTCCCGGTCTTCCTTGACTCCTCTTCCCACACTGCATTTTAATTTTACCTCTTACTAGAGGGTTGTTCTTACTTGTCTGATCACTCATGTAGATTTAAAGTGCTTGAGAGCAAGAGCCATGTCATCTTTGTCTCTGTTTCCCATATCTCCTCCGTCATAATACATAGTACCTAGTAGACACAGTACATAGTACATAGTACCTAGTAGACATTTTTCAAATGGTACGATGACCAAATGACTGATGAATGAAATAATACTAATTGATCATTACTTATGTGTACTGTGTTTGTGAAAGTAGAAAAGACCGTATTATGAAATTCTCATGGCTTTTTCCCCTGCGGTTGCCAAGCAAGTTTGAATCGGACTTATCTGATTTGCAAACCCACTCTTGCAATGCCACCAGGCATACACAGTGTTCTAAATGCTTCTAAAAGAGGAAATAATCATCTTTTTTATGGGCATATGTAGTCATTTTTTATTTTCTAAAAACGTAAGTAAATGGCGGAATATCCGTATTGATCATAGAAAAATTACAAGATACAAATGAGCATTGCAACAAACAGTCACCTACAACCCACCTCCCAGGCATAACCTTACTGTTAACACTGTCTCTCATCTTTTTCCACGTGCCAGTTTTTTTCTCGGAATAGCAGTATAGGCCACTTGGGGTAAAATTAGTATTTGTCCTGTTATTTTAGGAAGAGATTCTAAAAGGATTTATGATATGTGTAAGAGGGAAGGTGATGGGAAAGGGTAGACCCTGGATAATAGACATGTCCCTGGTTTGGGAGTCAAAGTGAGTAACGATTGAGTAAAAAGATTAATTCAACCACTGTGTTGTCAGGACACCTTAGGCAAAGGCGAGAGAGGACCGGTAGGATCTCTGGCTGACTTAGGATCTGTTCCTAAATCAGCCTGTCTCCTGCCTCCTAGGCCAGCCTGTCCAAGGCACCAGGCTGAGATGGTGATTAATATGGGAGGGAGCCTTAAGCTAAAGAGGAGCTTTTCTTTCTTATTTGCCTTGGGTTCTGATTAAATTTGGGAAAAGGGGGTTGAAAACTGAAGTGTGGCAAAAACTCTACAGTGGGGGTTTCCCGTTGGGAGATTTTGCCCCCAGAGAATATTGGCAACATCTGGAGTTATTCATGGTTGTCACAGCTGGAGGATGAGTGCTACTGAAACCCAGTAGGTGGAACCCGGAGATGTTGCCAACCATCCTACAACACACAGCACAGCCTCCCCAAGTAAAGAAGGATCTGGGCCCAGATGTCAGCAGGGCTGAGGTTAAGAATCCCTGCTTTAACAACAACAACAACAACAACAAAAGGCAAGAGAACAGTTGGCAAATATTTTCTTATATATTTCTTATATTATGTCTCACTTGCCCATTGAGAGATGTCAGCTTGAAAACTCTTTGAGTCTGGAGTCTATCAGGTGGATTAAAAATGCTAGAGGTTTTTATCATTAATCAGTCTTTTGTGCATTCGTGAAAGGTCAAGAGTTGTCCTAAGAAAGGGCAGAAAGCCCTTCATGTAAATCATACTTAAAGTTATCCCAAGAAGCTTTCAAAACCTGATACCATTTAAGCCAGTGGTACCCATAGCCAGATGTTTTTTTAACCCAGGGGCAAAGCTGGGGAAAGGAGATGGAAAAAGAGTAAGATACTGGAGCTTCTTTCTAGCTTTGCTCTTCGTAGCATTGAGATTTTTGTGGAATTAAGTGACTCCTTTTCTAGTATATTTTTGTGTTTGTCTTCAAGCCTTGGAATGACTTGCAGGGTTCAGAGACATCATTACATACCTGTGTCACTGACCCCACTGTTTATTTTCCAAACATTACGTACTTCGAGGGAGCACAGAGGGGGAAGTGTGTGTTGTGACTGCACCTATGGGTGAGGTGGCTAGAGGTCATGGTGGCTCTCAGGTCATCAGATCCCTAAGAGGTGGTAAGGCGTGCAGTTCGTACTCCAGAAACAGTCAGGTGGACTACAGATCGAGGCAAAGAAGCTAGGCGTGTGACTTTGAAAGCTTCATATTCTTTTCTTTTTTTCTTTTCTTTTAAACATGATTGAATCAACTTGGTTTTTGTGAGCCTCACAGATATGTGGAGAAACAACAGCTTGGCAGGAGTTGGGAAAGGGGGAAGGGATCTAAATTAAATATAACAGTTGCTTGGCAATTTAGTTGCTGACAAAAAAACAAGTCATTTAATCTGAAAACCATGTGTAATACGTCGGGAAGGAGAAAAGAACAATTAGCCCACTTCTTATGTAGCCTTTATTGACAACACTATATTAATTGTAATTATTCAATTGAAAGTGCTCTTCCGTCTTCTTTACTACAACTCAATAAACGGCACATGTACTTGGCTTTCACCCTGTCTCATGCTTTGTAAGGAACGTGTCGTTCTCTCTAGCCGTCCAGCTTACAGCAGGGAGGTTCCCCTTTCACATCTGTCCCGCCTGCTTCCTACTGCTTCTTCTTGCTATATCCATCCATCCATCACAAATTACCACAAACTTTGTAACCTAAAACAACAGAAATGTATTCCCTTGCAGCCTGGAGGCAGAAGTCCGAAATCTGAAGGTTCTAGGGGAGCCCCTTTCCTTACCTCTCCCAGTTTCTGGTGGCTCTAGGAAATCCTTAACTTGTGGCCACCACGACTCTAATTTCTTGTCTTGCTCCCATCATTGTGCTATTAACAGAATCCATTGACTGGGTGGTTTATTAACGACAAAAATGTATTTCTCACAGATCTGAAGGCTGGCAAGTCTGAAATCAAAGAGCCCAAACATTTGCTGTCTGGGCATTCTCTAGGGTCTTTTTTTTATAGGGCCACTAATATGTACATGAGGGCTCCATCCTCATGACTAATCACCTCAAATACTGTCACACTGGGTATGGAGTTTCACTGTATTAATTTTGGGGCAGAGGGTGGAACACATATTCAGTCCAGAACACTGTCTCTGTTTTCACGTGCCCTTCCTGTGTCTTATCCTTATCTTCCTATTTGAAGGACACTTATTATTGGTTTTAGGGCTTACCTGGGTAATCTAGAATGATCTCATCTTGAGATCCTTAACTGAATCACATCTGCAAATACACTTTTTCCAAATAAGGTGACATTCACCTTATGTCCTTATGAACTATTTATGTCCTGGGGTTAAGACATAGGCAGAATTTGAGGGGTCACCCCTCAACCCCACTAAAAAACCCTTTTTTTCTTTCCCAGAATGCTGAGTATACTATAGTTACTAATAAATGCTTATTGATTTGAAAGTGTGCTCATTTCAAAGTGGCCCAAATTAATGGCTGGGCTAATTGCCCCACCTTGTTTCAAAGAGGCTCTGTTATTAGCACTACAGAATGCACGGACATAAAAACAGTCCAACCTGGCAAGGCGAATGTGTGTTTCCGACTAAAGATCTAATAGTCACACCTAAAGCAAAAACAGTCAGTAAATTGAACCATTATTATAACCTGTAAGATTGCTGTTTTTCTAAGTGTTGGTCCTTGGGCTGCAATTAACTTCCTAGGTGGTCTTGAGGATTACTAGCTCCCAGCAAGGTATGAATGTCTCAGTTGAATCGACCCTGTTTACCCTTTATTAATTTTGGTGCCCTAGAAGAGAGAGAGAAGAAAACTGGTCAGGGCTTTAAAAATAGAGGGAGACAATTGTCATATTAAAATGTTTGCTTTGATTGGATTCGCTGAAATGAGTAAGTCCTGAAACAGGGACAGACGTTCACCATGTTCTCTGTTACTTCTGGAAGCAGTATAGCAGGGAGGATGGAGCACATGGGGGTGTGGCCGGGAGACCCTGATCACCGGACCCGGAGTGCTAGATTCGGAGACCTGGCTGGGCCTGGTTCTGCGGGTGCAGGTGTGGTCTTGGGCAAGCCACTTACTCTCTCTGGGCTTCCGTTCCCTACATTTTCAGGAAACCATGTGGGCTGAGCTAGCAGTTTTTCAGTCTGTATGTCGTGTGCTGTGGTGCTTGTCTCACTTGCTCCCAGAAACAATCCCAGTGGTTCTTTCTGTGATTAGAAACTGGGTTTGATGGGGCGCCTGGGTGGCTCAGTGGGTTAAAGCCTCTGCCTTCGGCTCAGGTCATGATCCCAGGGTCCTGGGATTGAGCCCCGAATCGGGCTCTCTGCTCAGCAGGGACCCTGCTTCCTCCTCTCTCTCTGCCTGCCTCTCTGCCTACTTGTGATCTCTGTCTGTCAAATAAATAAATAAAATCTTAGGGGGGGGAAAAAAAGAAAAGAAACTGGGTTTGGTTCAGAATTTTAAAACCGTGGTGTTGTGGTTTCTCCTCCTTCACCTCCTTGCAGCGGAGAGCTACAAGGAGACTCAGATGGTGAAGATTAAAGAGGAGCCCATGGAGGTCGACATCCAGGACTCGCATGTCTCGGTATCACCCAGCCGGAATGTTGGCTATAGCACTTTAATCGGGCGAGAGAAAACCGAAACCTTACAGAAGATGCCAGAGGGCAGAGTGCCCCCAGAGAGAAACCTCTTCAGTCAGGACATCTCTGTGAAGATGGCTTCCGAGCTTCTCTTTCAACTGTCAGGTACATTTCTGTGCAGAAAAATGTCAATAATTGGGAATAATTGGAAGGAAAGCCACTCTAACAAAGTAAAAACACCCGCATTATAGAATTTCTCAGGCAGAAATCAATTTTGTTACTTTAACATGCATACTGCCACTCAAAGTAACAGTGAATAAAATGTTGCCAAGTGGAACTCCTGCCAAACTTTCTTTAATAAATAGTTAAGAATCACTTGAAATTAGAACTCTATTCAGTTCCATGCAAATGATCCCTGTTGACTAGGCTAAACATCTCACCTCCACTTTTGCTTAGGCAGTTGATCTGATTAACAGCCTCTTGTTTTTTTTTCCCAAATGTTCAAAAGATAAACTTCCATTTACTCCAACAGTGACTGAATTACCATGAATTCCAAATTAGTGCGGTTTGAATTAAGATTGTACTGTATCTTGCCAAAAAAAAAAAAAATCAAGAAAAGGGAGTAGATGAAAATGTGAGGACTCTTTCCAGCTATCCCCTTGCAGAGCGTTTTTCTTTAAACCGATCGTTTCTACTTTGAATATTTGGAATTCGCAGGTGTAGGAATTACCAGCTCAGCTAAGTGTCCTGATAGAACAGTTGATGGTCCTCTTGGTTACCTTTGTTAACTCTTTCAAGCTGCAGAGTGTTGGTCCTGAACAAATTTAACATGCTGTTATTATTTGAACATGATTGAGATTGAAGATATAGACACGTACAAGATTCAGATTCATTGAAATACGCAGAGCTTGTCCACACTCAAGCATTGGCCTCTGTATAGAAGTTCATGCATCAGTAGAGTTTGTTACGAATGTTTGAGAAACTCTGTTTCGTTACGGATAGCATATTCAAAACACCACGAGATGCCTCATTATTTAAGTATTCACTTGCTTTCCCTGCTAAGAAAAATATCAGGAAGAAGCTAGAATCTGCATACCATCGTGATAGTTCACCTTGTTGTTGGCCTGGTGACACACGCCAGAGCTTGAAACTATCGGTTGGTCCCGGAAATGGTGGCCTCCTGCTTCTCAAACAGGGATTGTTCTTTGTGCAAAGCCTTGCAGTAATGGAAATAGTGAATTCCATAAACTTCACAGGACACGTGGATCCTCCCAAGCTCCCCAAAGCTCCAAATTCTACAAGATGCTTTTCTTTTTTTTTTTTTTTTAAACAAGTTGAAAGCATATCTCAAACAATATAACTTTGAAAATGACTTAGCAGTTACAATTTGCAAAAGTGAGGCCAGTGTGTGGTTCTTTTCAGAAAGTCTCTGTCTCTCCCGGTACATTATCACTGTCCGCTATCAGTGACAAACTTTGTGTCTGAGAGTTCTCACCCGGGCACTGTCACTTACTCCCTGGGTGACCTCAAGCAAGTCTTTTAGCCCCGGTTTCCTGCTCTCTGAAAGAATACTGCCTCTGAATCCAATCCAGCCTCATTGCCATTGTCTAGTGCACAGAAGGCGACCGTCTACACCAACTTGCGCGTAGCCTTTTCAGACTAGTACTACAAGTATTAGGTGGGTGTTGTAAGTCTTTCGTTTTTCCAAATTATCTATTTAAATTTGTTCAAAAATCCCTAAGATTGGGATTTTTTATTTGCTCTGCCATGGAAACCTGAAACCCTCGTCGAGCTGGCCAGGTTTTCTCTGCTTGCTGAAGCCGTTGAGGGCTGTGACAGTCAGGGCAGAATCCTCCCATTTGAACTGGATTGGGAAGGCCGGAGTTCAACTCTTGTGTTCTCGAAAGCTAATTAAATAATTCCTGACAGCTGGTAGATACAGACCTCAAGACAGAAAAGGGAGGGTTTACCTCTGCTAGTCTAATGATATTTTTTTGTCCCTGGTGACATTTATCAGAATAAGTGCTCGATGACTGCAGAACCCAGAGGTCTTATGGCTGTTTTTATATCCCCTCGCACAAAGGGGCCTGACAATACAGAATGCTTAAAGGTTGTCATCAAAGTCAGAAGCGGAACAGTTGCAACAACTGCAATTTTCATGCTGAATCAGAGGAAAGCAGAAATTTTCAGCTGGGGAAACATGTAGTAGGAATAACGGGTTCTGGCGCGCATCTCTCCGTGTGTATGTGTGCTTATTAAGGCCTCATTAAAATCAGACAACACACTTGAAGTTTGTCAGTGACTGTTTCCCTTTGATTGGTTTTTACTAAGATATTTTTGTGGATGCTGTCTATATGCTTTTAATGATTGTCTTTACGAATAAGACAGGGAGGGTTTGAATATTTACAAAGGAAACCAAAAGAAAACCACAAGAGAGAAAAAGAAACGTTGAGGGAGTTTCTGTTTAAGCCTTAGAGACACAAATTGAGTAAGAACGACCTACAAGGGATGTTTCATTCTTTCTTCTTACAGAAAAAGTGAGCAAAGAGCACAATCACACAAAAGAAAACACCATTCGGACAACCACCAGGTAGGCTATTTTGGGGAAGGGGGGGGTCCCCTCAGAGTACCCCCTGTGTGGGCCATCAGGCCCCGATCACACATGGTGCATTGTTCCCCAAACTCTTTTCTCCCGCTGGGTTCAAAGGAGTCATGCCTGTTGCCCCCAGTTTGTTAGAAATTTAGTGGAAATAATACAGAAAGCAACAGTGCCAAGGGGGAAGACCACTAATATTTATCAAACATCTAATAGATGTTACTGGCTGGAGAATTTTCCAGATGTTTTTGTTTTTGTTTTTTACTCCTTATAATACTTTTGTGAAGTAGGTCATATTATTATTCTCTTTGCAGAAGTTTTTTGACTTGGGAGTTTAAACGGGTGGCACAGCTGGGATCGGGGGCTGGGTCCGTATCTCAGAAAGGCTTCACCCAGTCAGGAGACCAAGGTTCTTACTGCAGCTGTATTCCTAAGTAGCTCCGCAGGTGTGGACAGATCACTGGTCACCAAGGATATCCCAGCTTTTTACCTCACAGCATTGTTAGGAGGGGAGAACATTTTCAAGTGAGAGAAAATGCTTCAAAAGGCTGCAGGAAGACCTTTGTCATTAACAGCTGTAGATAAGGATGCTGTGCATTTGCCAAAGGCAGTTTGAGGAGGTCAGCCAAGGTGGGCTGCCCATCCATTAGCCAGATGGAAGGAGGAGGACCAGCTGTGCCACCACTCATCCCCAGCCTGAAAGGCCATCCCGACCCCAACTGCGCTCCACTAGCGCATACCCCACCACTGCGAGAAAGGAACCCCAGGGGAGATAGGAGCTCTAGCTTTCAAGGACCGTCCCCCACCCTCAGACCCCCCTCTCCAGTCCCTGGGTTAGCCCCAGAGGCGGGCTTTACCAGGTGAAATAGGAACAGGGAGAACGAGATGTGAGCTCCCAAGAAGGCTTTCAGTCAAGGAACTAAGCTTTCGCGAGCAATCGTAGATTCTTCCTGATGGGAACAGTTGACTGGTTTGGTGTTTTTAGTTCTTGCAACAAAGGATAAATGATGTTTTTCTCTTTTGAGGTGGTATGAGTCGACCTCAGAGCATCATCAGGCATGTGCTCATCTGAACCTTAACCTGAGTTGTTTTTTCCTTTTTAATTCTATGAATTGGAATTTAGGGGTATCAAATGTCAAACAGTAATTAGAACAGAGCCAGCTGGCCTCACATGAAGTTTGTATAGTACTAGGAAAACGAAACCTGCTGTAACAACGGAACAGAAGAGGGGCACAGCCTTGTCTTTGTGTATTAAGTACACAGTTGGAAAATGGGTCTTTCAATCTGGGCTGCACATTGTTTAGGGAAATGGGTCTGGGGGCTGGGAGGGCTACTTGTCTATTAAGTTGGATGCCCGAATAGGAGATGTTACTTGCTGCGGATTCCAGTGGACCTTCCACATGTCATCTTAAGACTGTTTAGTATCTATGCTTGCGGCCATGGCTGTAAACCCACGAAGTTGTCCTGATTGGGAGACAATGAAAGACAGCAGACTAAAAATCATCAATGTTCACTTTAATTGCTTCCATAGGTTTGTTGAAGTGTCACGGGTCAGGTTCCTTAGAAGCTGAGCCCGAGACAAGGATTCCTGGGAAGGGACTCTATTGAGGGAGTGCTCTCAGTGCATTTCAGTGCTGGGAAATGAAGGTGGCAGGAGAGGGAAGGGGACATCGTGGAGCAAGGACGTAGTTTTCGCTGGGTTCCAGCTTTAGCTTGATCCCACAGAGAATTCTGGAGCATGAATTGCACCACAGTGTAAAGCCTGCCTGGAGGCAAGGGGGCCAGCTCTTTGGACCTCCATGCTGTTCACTAGCTTCGGGTCACCCCCAGCAGGTGATGTGGAACTCCTCGTTGCAGAGGCTCCAAGGGTGATGGCAGTTCCCCCTTGCCGTTCACAGCCAGCACGGCCAGCCACTTGCTCGCTCGCTCACTTGCTTTCTCTCGTGGGGAGCCCACTAATGAAGTAAAGGAGTTCTGGGCAGGACCCGACAGCACCCCCTGTGGGCTTTCTGCTAGATCTTTAAGATCACATCATAATATGTACATAACAGAAAGGTATGCTGCAAAGGCATGTTATTTTATGCTTTTCAGGTGTTCTCTGGGAAGACTAAGAGGAGGTTTGAACTAGCCCCAAATGAGTGAAATGCATCTCACAGCCTAAATTGCCTTGGCTAGAGCTAGAACATAATTATAGGATAGAAGAGAATTTTTTTTAGCCATTTGGCAAAAATGAGGCAATCTTTAAATTCTTTTCTTGCTGGGAGAGTATGAGTAAGAAGAAATCCAAATCAGATCTTTTGCCCAAAGCAGAGGAAGAGGTGCTTGCCGAGAGCCCCCCACATGGTAAGCGTTCATCAAGCAGCGTTACAGAATTCTGGGTTTATTCTCCTTCTATAGAATCCTTGGTGTGTTTTTATTCCTTTGAGTAGGAACCTGTTCAATTAGACTCTCCTCAAACAGATCTCTTTTTTACCTTCTCACCTCATTACTTTGGGTGGAATAGAATCAAGCGTCTTTGTGCCAAGAAATCCTCCTTAACCTCAATTAACTGATGGCAGGGACGGGGGAAAAATGCCAGCTCCCTCTCTTATTCGATTCCTGTTTTAGAAGGAACTCTTATTCTGTACGCATAAGGTCAGCTCATGGGGGTTACTTTTTAAGGTAGGATTTGCAATACTTTTCAAAAAAAATGACCTCAAGCCTCCAAATTTCCTTATCTCTGGATCTCTAGGTACTTAGTGGGATCTTCTTCTGGGTCCAGAAGAATCTGGCTGTCCAGAACAGTGGCTCGTGATTGCAGTCAAGTTCAGAATCTGCCATGTTTGAGAGTTGCTGGGTATATTGAAAATAGTTTAATTCTGAAGGGTGGTCCTTGGTACATTGACCGTAGCACAGTACAGAGGGACAGGCTCTTCCAGATGCCAGGGGGTACCTGAGCTCCTCCACTCAGTGAGATCTCCTGGCCCTAGAGTCTGGATGTCCAGGGCGCCAAGAGCAGAGAAGAGATGTGCAGTCCTGGAAGAAGGCAGCTGATTCTCTTTCCCTGTCCTGTATAAACCCACAACTTTCTCCACAGTTGTTTGTCAGTTTTGGTCTTGACTCTCATTCCAACCACAGGAACTAAGGAGAAGTTTAGCAGCCCAGGAAGAAACACTGTAGCTTGGCATTCCACTATGTGCTTAACCAAGGAGAGAAGACGTGGGGTGCAGATGTCCATGCCTGGGCACCAAGGGAGCATGAAGCTTGGGAATGTATGTACAGCCCACCATCCATCATATCCCACCATATCCCATACGGGCTGATAGTTGTGCCTCCCTCCTCTTCAGATCCTTTCCACTGGCATTTCTGCTGTTTGTTAATATCTCTATTATAAGATGGGCAGATAGGGAGAGAGAAAATGATGTTAGACAGCATTCCTTGTTAGCAATTAAAAAAAAAGTTTAGGTGAGGCTAAAGGTTGAAATGGGGAACTAGCAAGTTTCTGGGTCATTGGCTCTCTACCTCGTTTAAAAAAAAAAAAAAACTCAGTGGAAAATTTCAAACATATACAAAAGTAGAGAAAGTACCCATCACTCAGTCTGAACAATGATCATCTTGTGACCCTTATTGAAAGGTCTCCTCCTTTCGTTCCCCCTCCCCCTGAATTATTTTAAAGCAAATCCCAGACATCATTTTAAGAACATGTTTGAGAGTGCTTTTTCTTTCACCCCAAGAACTGAGACCCAGCTGCTTAAATTAGTGTCATCTTCCCAAAAGTAAAGGAGGAAAACAGTCTACCGGAGTGCACCGTGTAGCCAGGCAGAGAAATCAATCTACTTACCAGCTGAAATGATTGGGTCATGTGGTCCTGCTCACCAATGCCTTGACCTTAAGCCCTCCACCCTTGTTTGTGCCCTCCTAGGGGCACCTCCACTGAATCAGTCCTTTAGTTGGAACTTCACTGCAAATGCTAAAACAGCAGTTCTTTTGCCTGTTTAACCTCAGAGTCTAGCAAATTCAATCTAAGTGTTAAGAAGGCTGTGCATCTCCTTTGAGATAGTGTGTGGACGGAGCGTTCTTAATGCCATTCTACCTGATAAATGAGATGAGGAGACAGTCCAGCCAGACCCCGGAGAACAGAAGGACTGAACACTTGAGAGACTAATAAAATCCCGATTTTTTATTTCCTTTCCTAGCACACGCCTAGATTCTGCAGGGAATAGATAACCAGCTCATATGATCATTTGTTGATGAAAATATATGAGGCATGATATCATAACCAGATCCCAAAGTTTAATGGAATAAAAAGAAGATCTACATCTTCTGACATGGACCATCACCCCGCCAGATGCTGGATAAGATCGAAATAGGAAAATGGAACCCTAGAGTAAGAATCAGATAGCTCCTGGCAGGTGAATTGGACATGCTCAGTGTTGCGTAACACCATGAACGTCAAACAGTGGCCGCCAAGATCCCTCTCTTGGTTATTTGTTCTCTCTTTTACCCATTAATAATTCAGTGTCCATGGGGATATAAGATTGCAGGCCTTAAGAAAAACTTCTCACACCTGGCTTGCTTTATTCCAAAAGTAAGGAAGTGTTTACCCGAATCGTCCTTTTCCCCATTACAAGACAAAAAGCAGAAGTGGGAACATTGGAGAAAGGTAGACTTGGATCACGCCATGCCAACCAACATTTAATTTGCCCAATCTTCAGAACTTGGAATGTGGACTCTTCGTTATGATTTAGATAATGGCACTTACAGTGCTCACTAAAAGACATATGCACTGGGAAGTGTCCAATATAGAATTTTTCTATGTGGTCATTTGGATGCATGTCCTTAAATATTTACGATTCAGTAATAGAACTTGCACACATTTGGAAAATCATCAATTTGTACAATTTCCTCTTTTCATTTTTTTGGAAGGCCAAAGAGAATAATGCTCTATTACCTTAAAAAGTAAAACATTACTTACAAAGAACATTGGGTTAGACAAAAGCAATTAAGAAAATAAA